AATTGAGGGGTATTTGCCATCACAACTATTAGGTCAACTGATCTGAAAAATATAGGATCTGATCCTGCCTTATTCCCACATTTTCTTTTTTTGCGAAGCGGTTTATAAAAGCGAGAGCAAATCAGCAAGGGTTATATACTATGGATCTCTCCAATTATGCCCTTTGATGAGAGCTATCTTCTCTACTGAAGCTGCCTGACGCATATATCTCTGGCAAACTTGAAGCAAAATTGGAAAAGAGCACATTAGCATCAGAAAGATAAAACTGCATAGCATAATCACAAGCATCAATTCTCTGAGCGTCCTAATATGCTTTTTTCACTTTTCTCACGGGGGTGCCAACTTGGCACCGGTATAAGGTATCCAAGGTTTGTCTTTTTTATTATTTTAATGGCGGTAGAGGTTGATAACAGCACCGCATAGGGTCTTCTCCACTTTGGTCCAAGCGGGTCAATCTTTTACTCCTTAATGAGCACTTTATCACACATTGAACTCCTGGGGGCTTTAAGGGTCCTTTTCGAGGGTTATCCTTGGCGCAGGTCCAGCACCTGCGTGCAGCCGCTGCCGTTAAGCTATGGAGCCCATCGATGTATATCTGTCGTCCCAACAACGTTGTCAGGGCCGTCTTACCCAGGTGTGTAGTGTAATGTATGTGTCGGACTATGTGCCACGCCATGTCCTTAGGGACGTAGACGCGGTTATCTGGCATCACGATGACCTCTCCCTTCCATTTTTCTTTTTTCCTCAAGGCCCAATTTTCCTCCTCTTGTGTATATGTAAACTTTTCTAATGGGGGGTCCTCTAATGCAGTTGCAGTCAGCAAGCACTGTTTATTGCGGGGGTGTTTTGTTGTCTCCCTTGCGGCCAAATCAGCTAACCTATTTCCTTGCGTAACTGGATCTTTTTCCCTCTGGTGTCCCTTATTATGTATTATAGCAACCCGATCCGGTTCCCAAACCGCCTCCAGAAGGGTCACAATCTCAGCTGCATTTTTAACGCCCTTTCCAGCCGACGTGAGGAGTCCCCGCTCCCTGTACAAGGCTCCATGAGTATGGAGCGTAGTAAAGGCGTACTTTGAATCCATGTAGACATTGACCCATTTTCCTTTTGTCAACTGCAGTGCCCTGGTGAGGGCTATCAACTCAGCCCGTTGAGCGGAGGTTCCCGGAGGGAGCGACTCTGTTTCCAGAATCTCTCCCCCCTCCTGTACCACCGCATACCCTGCACGCCACTCACCATTTTCCACGAAGCTGTTGCCATCTGTGAATAGGGTCATGTCTATGTTGGACATTGGTACGTCCTTTAAATCGGGTCGGCTGGAGTGTATCTGTTCCATCACCTGAATGCACTGGTGGACTGTTTCCTCCCCCGGGGCAGGCAACAAGGTAGCCGGATTCAGGGTGGTGTAAGTTTCTAGGGTTATCATCGGGTTGTCACATAACACCCCCTCATATTTAGTCAGTCTCTTGTTTGTGAGCCAGCGTGGTCCCTTGGTGTCTAACAGTGCCTTCACATGGTGTGGTACCTTTATGAGCAGTGGCTGCCCTAAAGTCAATTTGTTTGTTTCTTTTATTAAATCTACTGCTGTTGTCACAGCCCGCAGGCATGGTGGCATTTCCTGCGCTACTGTGTCTAGTTGCCTTGACAAGTATGCCACTGGTCTCTGCCATGACCCTAAAACCTGGGAAAGTCCACCCACTGCTACTCCTTCTCGCTCCGATACAAATAGAATGAAGGGTTTCTCCATATCAGGTAGGCCCAGGGCTGGTGATGACATCATCTCTGTCTCTTTTTAAAACACAATTGTAAACATTTATGTCTTTTGCTTGTCCTATCCAGCAGGTGGTGTTGGATAGGCTCTTGTATTTTGGACTCCCATTATCAGGAGCTCAAGAGCTGGAAAAGATAAATAGAAAGATAGTGAGAGAAAAGGGGGAGGGGGATATTGATTATCCATCTGTCGTCGGTTTCCGTCGATAGCTTTTATTATATCCATTAGCGGGCCTCCACAATCTCTCACTTTGAAATCCTCTCGACCATTCTCCAATCCTTTTAAACAATTCTCTACGGTTTTCTTTCCATGATTTATCTCACGTTTTTCTGTCCATCTACTGCAAGCAATCTTTTATCATTTTATCTTTGACCTGCTTTTCCAACTTAATAAACAGTTTAACCTTTTGCTGACAATGTCTCTCAAACCTGGCAAAAAAGAAAATCTTCTTGGCCCTTTGCAAGGCATTGTCTTTTAAATCTGGCAACACCAGGGCAATCCGCCCTGTCTTTCTGGTTTAATGTCTCATTTCAGAATCAATTCTTTTAGTAACTTTGTAGAGGGATTGGGTCAAAATAACAAAATCTGTCCTAGCAGGGGCTGGACTGGATGGCCCATGAGGTCTCCTCCAACTCCTTGACTCCCCGATTCTATGATTTATGTCCAGGGTTATTGTATCCACATAAAAGTAAATTCTGTTGTAAAAATCAATTGCTGGTTTTCTTTTGAATCAAATACCAAACCAAACAAACAAAAACAATGTTTAACAATCAGTGTCTCGCGACTTGACTTTTAAAAGGCAGTTTTGTTTTGTTTTAACTTAAAACATATTTCATCTGTTGACATCTTGAGGGAGGTTTTATGTATTCTTTAACATCTGAGGATGTCTGTCACTGGTGCAGGAAAATTGTCAGGAGAGAATGCTTCAGGAACATGGCCATTCAGCCTGCAAAATTCATGACAACCTAAACCTTTTAAAACCTTTTTGTCCGCACACACAGATGTAACATTTCTCTTTTTGACACAAGCCTTAAAAATGTCCCAACCTGCAAAGAGTTAACATC